TATACATACCTAAATACGTACATACACACACACACACACACACACACACACACATATATATATATATATATGTGTATCATATTGGTACATAGATACATAGATAACATACCTGAATACATACATACATACATATATAAATACATACATAAATACATACAGCAAACCAGCGCAAACAGCGTCAAACACACCTGCATACGCGGGAACCACGAGTTGTCTCGCTCGTCCAGCATTCGCTTGACATAGGACTCAGGGCCTGTAAACTCGGTACTGTCCTTGATCCGCAGATGGGTCATGAAATACACATAGTCCCAGACGTTGTGTTCGGTTAGTGTGTGTTGTTCAAAGGTGGCGGCGCGGCTGCTGCTGTCAAAGGCCGTGCGGGAGAGCCCACACACATAGCACGTGTTCTTCATGTTGTCCTGTTGTGGAGGAGTGAGTGAGTGTGGCCGGGGGTATGTGAGCAAAGAGTATACTGATATATGAATGGGAAGACATTGTATCGGGATATAAGTGGGTGTGGTAATAGGTATGTGAGAAGAAAGTAACAACAATATAAATAATATCAGTGAGTGTGGTAGTAGGCATGTGAGGAGAAAGTAACACCAATATATACATGGGAAGACAACGGATCAGAATATGTACAGTTGACTACAGGTGTAAGGGCAAGGGGTATTGTGGTGCGAGTAAGGAATGGGCGTGCAAGGCGTGGGGGCTGCTCAGCTGATGAGTCCTTGATATTAATGAGGTCAATAAGGTTGGATGGTTGATACTAGACACCAGTGAGAAGGATGGATCATAGATACACGGGTCTATACCAATAGTACCGACTGCAAGTGACAAATAAGTGTACGAAGTCTGTGGCAGATCAGTACGCACGTGAACGGAGAACACCATCACCTTGGCAACTAACTGCACAGACACATACACACCCACAACCATAGACCTAAAACCCTAAAACACAGATTGCGACACACACCCGTCTACCATACCTCCGTATCATTCTTCTCCGCACGCAGATCCGCAAACGTGTCGATGATAACACCAAAGATCAGATTCATGATGATGATGATGACAATAAAGTAAAACATGAGGTCATACACCACACGCCCACCGTACAGTGGTTCGTCCTTCGATCGCACTCGCAGTACGTCCCCAATGCCTCCCCCGTTTCTTAAACCTGAAGCGGTTGATGGGGTGAACAGGTGTTGGGTGAGAGAGAGAGAGTGAGGGGTGGTGTGTAGGTGGGTGGGTTGGGGTGGAGTATGAGGACCTTTTGAATACGAGATACCGCGTGTATAAGTGCTGTGCACTTAGTTCGAACACAATAGTGTGGGATGGGAAGGTATAAATATATATATATATATATATATATATCAAAGGAACCCCTGGGTACACAGATCACCTGCACGTGTATAGTATATTGGGTTCGGTTGCAGAACCGTTTGTATTGGTATTTAGATGTAATAGTACAGTCTTACAGATATTCGTGTACTAAAGCTTGACGTATGTGTGGATTCGTGATCATATCAGATATATAGCAAACTCCAATCGAGTGCACAGTTCCGCTACCGCTCGACCGGATATAAGTAGCATACACATACTAGTATGCGTCGTCTATACAATAGCTATGTGTAAATAACTACATACAGTGTGTGATATAAGTAGCATACACATACCAGTATATGTCGTCTATGCAACATCTATGTGTAAATCACTACACACAGTGTGTGATATAAGTAGCATACACATACCAGTATGCGTCGTCTATGCAAAAGCTATGTTTAAGTATCTACACACAGTGTGAGTGGTACTAAAACACTTGCAAACAGACGACAGGAAGCATGAGAAGTAACACACACACACACACATACCGTTGTTCATAGTGGTCACTATACACATCAGTAGTGAATCACACCACTCTTCTTCTCCATTGGCCGTTTGGATAGTAAAGTCCTGCCACACAACCAACCCCCAAACGAAAAGGAACGGAAGAACATTCGGGATATGAGTATATATGATTAATCAACAGACACTAAACCCTAAACCCTAAGACATGGGCCCATATTAGGCAATTCAGAAGCTAGATGGATTAGATGAGAACATAAGCAAGAAACACGTGGCTACACAAAGGCAACTGAAATGAAACCAACGGAACATGTGACGAATGAATTGTAACATGTGTGAAATCATTTGCAACATGAAACATGTGTGAAAATAACGGAACTTGTGAGGAATCAAATCATTTGCAACATGAAACATGTAAGAAAATAACGGAACATGTGTAAAATCAATCGTGGTAAGATAGGCTTACATCTGGTAATAAGCACACGCGTCCGAACTGTCTTGTGTCCCTCGTAGTCGAGATGTAGAGAATGTACATGCAAGCAGCGAACACATATACATATATACACATATACACATCCATAGCCACTGACAAGGCGCATACAAGCACATGTGAGAAACGACAGACACACATTCATGTCGTAAGAAGATATGTTCCACAATGAGGGTATATTCACACACACACACCAGAGAAATACAACACGCACACACGCACACACACACCTCAGATGAAGATATCTAAGAAGCAACACGCACACATACATACATCTCCTATGAAGATATATATATATATACACACATACACTTCTTATGAACATACACACACACACACACACACACTTCTTATGAACATATATGCACACACACACATACGTCTCGTAAGTAGACGTAGCCCACAATGGAGAACAGGTAGATGACTATTAGGCCCAGCAGAGCCGTCAGCAGAATGGACACTCCGTTACGCGTCACAGAGCGAATGACGTTCTTGAGTGTGTCTTCACGGAACACCAAATCAAACAGCAGAATACTGCGGGTGTAGGTGTGTGTGTGTGAGAAAGAGAGAGAGAGAGAGAGAGTGTGTGTGTGCGTGTGAGAGAAAGTGAGACGAGAGAGAGAGAGAGTGTGTGTGCGTGTGAGAGAAAGAGAGACGAGAGAGAGAGAGTGTGTGTTTCACACACACACAGAGAGAATGTGTGTAAGAGAGAGAGTGGTGTACGAGAAAAAGAGAGAGATACAGAGGTGTTGACTATTTATTGAGATTATCTTCACGGAACACTAAATCAAACAGCAGAGTACTGTGGGTGTAAGTGTGTGAGAGAGAGACAGAGAGATAGAGTGTGTGTGAAAGAGAGAGAGAGAGTGTGTGTACGTGAGAGAGCGAAAGACAGAGAGAGGTGTTATCTGTATATTGAGTGTATCTTCACGGAATTCTAAATCAAACTGCGCATGTATAGGACATATTCCTGTACTGGGGAGATACACCGCATCAGCCATACTCACGGTAATAACAAACACAAATGTGATATAGCNGTANAATCACGAGCGTCGAGATATATATATATATATATATATATATATATATATA